TAGTAAATATTCATATTATTTAAAAAACTTACATGTATACATTAGCATAAATAAATAGTCTTGCTTCACTTCATTCATGGACTGTTGTTTTAATAAAAATAATAAATTTTATTTTTATATAAAATCCGTGAAACAATGAGATAAGTATTTGAGATCATATGATTTAATATTCTGTGTAATACTAATCATGTGTGTTGGTAAAAAAAATTTGGAAGTAACCACTTTGATAGTGACGATCCCCCAAAATTTACTGATTGTGTTGTCTACTACTTCTATCGCGGATCACGAATTAAAAAATTTTTGGTGTTTATCATCTGCCATCTAAAATCATACACTAGACCAAAAAATATACCTAAAAAAACTATCAATTAAACTAATAGTTATTTTTTTTACCTATGGCGGGTATGAGTGTTTATTAAGTACCTCTCACCTTACTTTTTTAGTTCAATAACAAGTAAGACCGTTAGAACGCTATAATTAATATTAAAATTATGTCTTATGTTACAACAGAACTTATTTCAGAAAACCAAGAAGAACCCAATACTTTTCAAGAAGCAGAAGAACTTGAAGTAGACACTGAATTGATTTCTGAAGAGTTATTATTGACTAGTTTATCAGAAAGCTCATTTGGTATGTACACGTGTATATTTTATATTAACTAGGTGCTGCTGGTCTATAAAATGTCAAGGAGGGAATTATCAAAAGGGGAATGTGAGAGGCTGAGAAAAGACGTAAATTCTTTTTTTTGGATTTGCTTATAGAAGACGACATGGAAGAAGAACTTCTGATAGATGAAACATTATCACCACTTGAAAAAATATCTTTATATGTAAGAAGTGAATTAGCATTTCATAGGTAAGCAAATAATATTTTATACATTGATTTTTTGTTTTAAAAAAAAAATAATTGCTTATTGACGCTGACAGACAAAAATAATATTTTTTTTGAGAGTGTTCATTGCAAAAGAATTTCCAGCATTAATAAGGGATGTTGAAGTCAGTGAGGCCTTAGAATATGTATTACCATTAATTATTTCTCTAGGAACCGATCCAGGTTGATTAATTGATTGATTGTGTTAGGTACTTTTCGCTCTGGATACCCTTGATTTCGCATTTTACAGTTGTCAATTTTCAATTTACTGCATTTTGTTAGAGGACCATGTTAAAGAAGCTTTCGCTACTCAATTGGATGATATCATATGGTTTTATTATTCTGTAAGTGTTTTCATTATATAATAACAAAAAATAATAATTTAAATATATATGTATAGTGTATATTCAAAATAATTATTAAATATTTTAAATGATATTGTTATTGTTGTTGTTTTGTTTGCTTGTTTTATCATTAAATAGCATTGTACACTCAGAGAAGCTGCAGATTGTTCACCAATTGACATAGTGGATTTAAGACCCCCAACAACTCAAATATCGCAAACTCTCCAAAGACCACAGACACCAATACAACATTATAATTCGCAACAAACATCATCTCAAACACCATCTCCGGCTAATAACACTCCGTATTTATCACCTTCTGCCTTTACTTTTTTACTCCGTGCTCTTCTTCTTGATCAAAACACGAGAATTGCACAAGCAGCTCAAGCTACAATTCAGTCGCTTGTTGAACGGGTATTAGAGGAACTTGGTGTTAAATCCAAAAAAAAAGACTTATTAGAAAAAGAAATATTAGAAGGTGTCGTTCTAGGCATTGGCAGATTAGATCAAGAGAAATTTAGAAAGGAAGAAATAAATGAATGGGAACATTATGGTGATGAACATGGTGTTAGCACTGTGTCTGGTAGGGAAGAAGAAGCAGAATTGGGAAGAATTACAATGATGTCTGTATGTATTTTTATCTTTAATAATAATTTGTTATTTATTATCTTATGAACTTTTATATATATGCATACATTTATATACAGTTAATATCTTCTTTGGCACCTATCGTTGGACCAGAAAGATGTACTCGTTTATTTTTGCCAGAATTGGAAAAAATGATCAATGAGCAAGTATTTTATGTGCGAAAGGTATGAATTGTCTTTATCATCATCATCATCATTGTCGCTATTATTATTATCGTCATTTTTATTATCATTTGTTATAAATAATTGAAATTTAGTATTTTGTTTGCTGTTGTTGTGTATGTATAGGAAGCAGCTTTGGCTTTGGGCACTTTGTCAGGAGTATTACCATTGGACATCATTATATCAAAATTGGTAAATATTAATTTAATTCAATTTGAGCAATTGAAAATATTATAGAGATTGTTGATATTCAGGAAAATAAATAAATAAATGATGTCAAAAGTTACCTATATACGACCATTTCTCAAATGATGCAATTTGGCACGTGCGCCGTTCATGCTGCTTAATCCTTCCTACAATATGTTCTCGGCTTCCAGATGAAATGAAATCTGAACGTGCAACGAGTGGAATTGAACTTTTTGCCGGAGACGTAAGCAGAAGTGTAAGATCAGCTGCAGGGGATATTATTGGTGAACTAATTGCATTATTTTACCCAAATGGAAAAGTACCTGAAAGTCTGGTTCAATATTTCCTAAGTTTAATCAATAACAACAACAACAACAACAATAATGTCCCTGGTGAAATATACAGTGGCCTTAAACAAAGGGATCCTGAAAGACCATTTATTTGTGCATTTAATTTTCCTGGTATTTATTTCTTTAAACAAAGAAAATAGAAAATGTTATGTGTGTAATAACATTTTAAAAAAATATTTCTTTTATTGAGAAATTTTTTCTAATTTAAAATAGCTGTTGTTTTAACTTTGGGTGAAAGCCGTTGGGATGATCTTAAAGAAACTTATCTCTTATTAACACGGGACATACAGGTATAATTATTTAAAAAAATTTTAATTTTTTATATCTTAGTTGTCCAGCCATTGTAAAAATGATTCTGAATTTAATTCGCTTTGACTTTTCATTATTTTGGTAGGCTAAGGTTAGAAGATCATTATCTTATTCGCTTCATGAAATAGCAAGAGTTATTGGTCCTAAAAAAGCAGAAGAATGTTTATTAGCGGTCTTTACTCTCTATCTTGTTGATGCAGATGAAGTTCAATCTGGTGTTGTAGAAAATCTTGCTTCATTTATTAGTTGCTTGCCACAAAAAGCTAGAAATAATTGTCTGCCTCCTTTATTTGGTATATGGGATGATTTAAAACAACGATGGCGTTTACGAAATACAATTGCAAGGTATGATGAAACTTTCTTTTTTTGTAATTAGCATTTTATATTCATTTTTTTAATTGATTTTGCTCTCTTGAAAATATGTAAAGGCAAATGCCAACAATATGCCGTCTGTTTGATAGCAGAAATGTAATAAATTATTTACTGCCGTTAGCTATAAAAGCTGTTAAAGATGATGTTGCTACTGTGAGAGAAACTGCAATTGCTTGCGTAAGTTTTAAATTAAATGACCAATATATTATAACTATGACTTATTTGTAAAAAAATATTAATCAATATATATATATATTATTTACCTATTAATTGATTTTATTGATTTTATTTCTTTTAGTTTCCAGCTTTATTTGAAGTTGTTTATAATGATGATACATTATTTGCTGAATTGATAAATTGTGTGCGTGAATTCGCATTCGAGAATAAATTTCGATCAAGAGTAGCGTAAGAAAATAAATGATTAAATGATTGTTATTATTCCATTTTATAATATAATTCATTGTTTATTGTTTATTACATAATTTAGATTTATACAAATTTGTCGAGCTCTAGTTTTATCAGCATTCCCTAAACCTGAATTTGAAAGATATTTCATCCCTATTTTGAAAAATTTTTCAACAGATAATGTTGTTAATGTTAGAATTACATTAGTAAGACTAATTAGAGATTTATGTCGAATAGGTATACTTTGAATTAATAATTATTTTTTTTAATAGTAAATTAGTTATTTAGTTAATTAATTAATTGATTAATTATGTATTTTTTTTAATAAGAACAATATTATCAGGATCCAATGAGCAAATCACAAATCATTGATATGATTAAACAACTTGCAGAAGATCCTGATTTTGATGTCCGCTCATTATTATTTATGACATTATCACATGAAGAAAGATTAAAGTTTATTACGACAATACGGCAGCAGCCAACGACAGATATAAAATCGATGAACCCACAAGAAAAATTAAATGCTATAGATGCTAAAAATAATGATGATAATAATGATAATAACAATAACAATAGTAACAATATTGATAAAGATGTTAACGCAGATAAAGTTAATGTTGATAACAATGCTGATGTTGATAACAATGTTGATGTTGATAACAGTAATGATAATACAAATAATGACAATGATAACAATAATGATAACAGTAGTACCAATGCTAACAATGCAGTATCAATAGTGAATCACCATCAACAATAGAAAATAATTCTGAACTAGTTGGCACGATCATTGGTGAAACTCTAATTCATATATAAAAACCAATAATATCATTATTGTGGATAATAATAATAATACTTGACTCATGTTATCAACACTTTATTTAAAAATCTCAACTATCAATTAATTGCTTTCTTTTTCATAAAATTGAACAATTTCTATTATTTGATGCTGTTGAGACAAAATCATCAACTTTAAAATCATAGCATTCTTTTTTCATCATAGCAAAAACTATTTTTTGTATATTTAATTTTAGGTTCTTTATGCATATATATACACAATATATAAAAATAATTAGACATCCAAAATCTTATGTTTATATATATATAGTATTATTATCATCATTGTCATCTTGTCCAACATTATTTCATCTCTTCATCAAAAACTTTCTTTCAAATTGCATTTTTAAATAAAAACAAATTTTTTTTTTAAATTAAATAAAGACTATTAATTATTGTTGTTGTTTATATTAAAATAAAATGCACGTTTTGAAGAAACAAAAGCTTTTGGTTTTTTTAATTTATTGATTAAAAAATAAATGTTAAATAAATAAATTGAATGCAAGTTGTAAACCCTATTGATCTTTAACACTTAAAGTATCAATAAGTTTTTCCAACATAGGATTTCCGCCTAATCTTTCAACTTCGTCTTTTGCCTCTTTTTCAGTTTTTGCCAGATAATTCTTTGTGTACTCGAATGAATTTGTATCTTTCATTAGTTTAATAGCATGATGCTTTAACTCAATTGATGTTGTGTGTTGCTTTAATATATCTTTATTGGTTTTGTGGAGTTAAGAAATAATTCTTTTTAAAAATATTAAAAAAATTATAATTTTATTTAAAAAAGGATACTGAATAATTGTCTGTTGTTAGGATCTTTATGAAGTGAATGTATAATTGGAAAAGAAAACTTTCCTTCAGTTAAATCTTCACAAAACCCTTTGTTATCGGCATACTATATACATATAAGTATTAATTATGATGATCATTAATAATTTCAAACATCATCATTATCATCATCATTATAATCATTTTTATTTACCTTTTCAGATTGTAAATTCATATAATCATCTCTTATTTGGAAATGAATACCGATAATACTCACTAATTCAACATAATCTCTATATTATATATATATATATATATATATATATATATATATATATATATTTAACAACTTATTATCAATTCTTCCTTTTTGTGAAGTTCATAATAAAATATATAGATTGTTTAATTACTCTTTTGATTCACTAAATTCTTGCATCAATCTAACCCCAAGACGTAATAAACCCCCAGTTTCTATAATAATCATGACAACGTATATGTAAATATATATTAGAAATAAATAAATCATACAATCATAAAAACATATATTAAAATCACATATTATAATAATATTGTTATTACTATTTGAAACCATTCCAATAAATTCTTCCTCTGTTGGACATGTAAATGTATCTCTCCAATAAAGCTCCATTCCTTGACCACGATGTAAATTTAATAATTCCTCTATAATATTTGATATATATATGAATTTGAATATGTTTATCAAAAATTTTACATAAATATTCTCAATCGATACCTGTAAAAATATGGAAAACATTTGAATTATTAAGTTTCGATAGTTCATTTAATGCCAAAAAATATACATAATTTGCACAATTAATTGTTGAAGGTATGCCATAAATAGAATGTGCAACTAGAATTTAAAAAACCAAATCAATGTTAATAATAAATCAATCACTATCAACATGTATGATATAATATAAATGTGTTTATGTATTGCTCACCTGGAACTCCTCGTCGTAAAGTAGAATCGTCTTCAACATCATCAATTCTATTATTATTATAATCATCAGAATATTTAAAAAGAGGTTTCACCACATATGTATGAAAAACTGGTTGATAAATTGGAAAAATTTTATAATTGCTTACAAAAGACTGGCAGTATGCAACATTTCTACCAACTTTGCTATAATTTTTAATTGATCTTTTGGAACCTTAAGCCAATAATCAAATGCATCGATTAATTTAGTTCTAATTTCTTTACCAGGATACGCTAAAAGATAATTAAAAGGCTCAAGAAGTATCTATATTATCACAATAACAACAATATGAGTATATAAATTTCTTTCAAAAAAAATTTATAAATTTAAATTGAAAATTTTATATTAGACCTTTTCTTTTTCAGCAGACCAAGAAATAAGAGTATTTTTTATTTCTTCCATTTTAAATAAAATTCAAAAAAATTTCAGAATTGGATAGAGTATTAAATATCAAATATTGGTGGCCTGGGTGTAGGAGTGATTGATGTGACAAATACAATTAAATACCTGATGTTTACATTATTTAAAAAGTTATTTCTTGAATACTTCAGTACTACATCCGTTTACAATAGCGATTATTAATATTAATATTAATATTAAACTTTACTTATGTTACCGGAAGATCATGTCCGCAACTGTATTCATATTTTGACTAATACTAATGGATAGATAAATAATAATATTATTATAGTAATATTAATTTAGGAACATCCGAACGAGTTTTAAAAAATAACAATGATAACCTTAATAAATATTAGGTGATTAGGGAAAAGATGTCATACTAAATTGTTTATGACATTCTATTTGGGGCATGCTACAACAAAACCAGACAAAGTGAACATTGATATTACCAAGAACTTCAGGGATCAAAATTTAGTCATTTGTAATTTGATCATAATAATTTTGCAAAAGGTTCATCCAATTTTTAAAGACTATCAGGAACTAAAAAACATAAGATTTGTACCGCCGATTTAGTTTTGATTTTTAGTTATTTTGGTTATTGGTTTTGACTAGTCGGTTTAGTTATTATATCCACGTTATTTAATTTTTATTTAATACACTTATATATTATAAACCATTGAGTATTTTTATTAATTACATAATGATATTTTAAAGTATAATAATATTGCTAAAAATAAAAAAAAATAACTTAAAATTGTATCTACAGAAGTATTCAAAGAAGTGCTTCTACTTCATCTGTATAATTTTTTTTTCCAATGACAAATATGAATTTATACAATTACTATCAATCAGGTAAAGAAAGTTATTTAAATATTATGATAAAATATGTTGCAAAAAAAGAATGTGGTGACTTTTGTGTCCTAACCAAAGACGATAATTTTTGTCTTCTTTCGCACTCCTTTTGTGTCTTCCTTCTCTGATTGTTCAAATTTTCGATCTTATTTTTAGTATTAATAATTATATTCTGTAAAACAAAGAATTTCCTTAATTAATTTTTAAAGTGACGATTGATAACCTTTTAATATATATACGTACAATAATATTTTTGAACACTTCTATGATTTTCTCATTGTTCTCTTCCTTAACTGGAAGTTGTATTCTTTCTACTTCTTTTACTCTATATAAACCATAACATGGCTTATCAAGTACATATAACCGAAGGAAGAATCCTAAAATAAAATTCAAATTTTTGTTAGTAAATTATAACATTTAATATGTGATAATTAAAATTTGTTGCAAAAAATTATCAATCTTAATACTAAATCCCACACATACGTACTACATATTTCACCTTTCTATATTAATATTAATATAGCAGTAGTCTTACCTGTAACTAGGATTCCGTATACAGTGAACCCTCCCTAAGTGCACCCTCCCTAAATGCATGCACTCCATAAATGCACACCCTCCATAAATGCATGCTCACAAGAAATAGCACTATGTTCCCAAGGGGGGTGCACTTATAG